TCTTTTCCTTACATGAGTGAGCGGGTGTTAGATTTGAAAGCTGGGAGGAAATACTACAGCCTCTAAAGCCTATCACGAGCGTTGATGTGAAATCTTATTCACAATATTCGATATTTGGCAGGAGAGGAGGATTTTCTAGAAGTTCAGGTACCTCTACTTCTCATGCTTCTACATCACATGCATCCACATCACACATCACAAGGTCAGGCTTCTAGCACAAGGTCAGGCTTCTAGTTCTGATTCGCAGGCTCATCTAATGCAAAGGATTTTAGATAACATCAATTATACTACAAACAAGGTATTAAATTTGGAGAACTTTGTAGATCATATGGTTGGTTATATGAGGAGACACAGTGACTATGAAGAAAAATTTTACCCATCTTTGGAAAACCTTATCAGGGGTGACCAAAGTGTAGTTTTCCTTCATATCCACAATGCCCTTCATATGAACCTATTGCTTTTTGGAATAGTGATGATAGTGATGATGAGGAGGAGGAGGATTACATTTAGTAGTTTACTTTTAATTGTGAACTTTATGTGGTAGAGTTTTATTGAGCTATTAATTTAATGTGTTGTACTTGTTTAGACTGCTACTATAGTTTGTGTTGTTTATGTTAGACACTATTGTGATGTATTTATGTTATTGTGAGCAGTTATATTTTATTTTTTGTGGTAATGACCGATGACTGTGTTAACTGTGTTGTTTAGTGTAATTTTTTTGTTTGTGTTGAACTTAATCCTGAATTTTAGGAAGGTTTTGAATATTACTTTCACTTAAGAACTTCATGTTTAAAATTTTCAATTTACTCCCAGGTATTTTTTTTATGTTACAGTTGTGAATTTTTGTTAGTGTGTTTGTATGCTTTTATGTTATCCTCCACTGCATAAAAGTCTAATGAATCTTAATATCGTAAGCTAAATTAAAATTTGATCAATTAATTTTTACTTCTATTTTTACTTTTTGTACTTATATATTTAGGATGTAAAGATTTCTATAAGCATGTTATTTTTAGTTTTCATTCCAGCTTATATATAAATATGATGCTTATGATGCTAAAATGTTTCATCATATTAAAAATTTAAGTTTGGCGGGATGAAAAATAATTTCTAAAATTTAAATTTTATTTGTTCTCAAATGTGCTACAAATAAATTTGATTTTGATTTGAAAAAAATGATTATGCATATGAAGTTCATATGAAGTTATATCAGGGTGAATATTGAAATGAGTAAAAGAATTTAGTTGAAACCTATAGTAATGAAGAAAAACTTAAAGTTAAAAATTTTTAGTGTGGAAATAATAAATATTGTGTCAATATCTTTACTAGGAAAAATTTTATTTTTGAAAAATATAGAAGGTTTAGACTTTTATTTACAATTAAATTTCCTTTATTAAAACTAATTTTCAAAATTGTTATTATATTTTTAAGTAAAGGATATATATCAAAACTTTGCTTTAGAAAATGAGGAGTAGAATTCAAAATCATTAAAGACATATCTAGATATAGTAATCCTCACCTGAAAAAGAAAAAAAGAAGAATAAAAAAAATAAAAAGAAGAAGTAAAAAAAAAGAAAAAGAAAGTTAAAATAAGGAGGAGAAGATTGAGTATTAGTGTCAAATCAAAAATTGGTTCCACATCTCATCTTTTTAAAGTATAAGACTTGAGAAACTCTTAAGTTTAAAGATATAGTATATTAAATATAACTACTCTTAATAAAAAATTTTGAAGTGGAGAAGATAGAAGACCTAAACTCTATATTTAGATAAATTACAAATATTTCTGAGCTAGATTGTAACTCATATTTTCAGACTTCTTTACATTAAAGATTTCTAAACTCTAAGTTGGCCTCATGTACTAAAGTTTTTTCTAAATTGGGCTACTATATTTCTAGATCAAAATTTTAGAATATCCTAAAGAAACTCATTTATATAATCTACTTTTGTTTGGTTTTGAAAGATTGGAGTGTCACTTGAGGACAAGTAATATTTTAAGTTTGGGAGATTTTGATACACTTAAAATATATAGCATTTATGTTAAAATATTTTGATACACTTAAAATATATAGCATTTATGTTCACATTTTTATACCTATTTTTAAGGATATCGTGCTTTAATAGAACGTAGTTGTGTGTTTTTATTTCAGGTACAATTAATTAGATGAAAAATGGTAAAAAGAGTGAAAAATGATCAAATTAGGAGCAAAAACGAAGAAGATATGCAAAAGAACTATGACACTTAAGCTCCTAGAACTGGCGCTTAAGCCCTAAAAACACCGAGAAGGCCGCGCCTAAGCGCCACATACCTCACGCTTAAGTGTCAGAGGTAGTTACTTGATGATTCAATGAATTTGGATGAATTTTTGTAGAGGTGTTAGAGGTGTTTGAAGGTAGAGGTGTTTGAAGCAACTCTCGGTGAAAATGTGAGAAATTGTTAATGGACACGAAAATACATTCAATTGGCTTTTGAAAGGAGCAACTCTTAGAAGATTTATTGAATGTGGACACATTTTGAAGTGACACCAAAGCACCGTTTGGAAAATTATAAAAGAAGACTTGGATTGGATTTAAGAAGACTCTCCTACATTTTCCCAAGTGCCCTAGAGAGACTCCTACGCCCCCATAGCCACGCGCCCCCATAGCCACGCCACCGACGCCTCTCTCATAGATTAATTAGGATATTTTATTGGAGAGAAGAATAGAGGAGTTGTAGTGTGTGAGTAGAAAATATTGTACGAGAAAGGAAGAGAAGAGATTCAAAGGAGCTTCATAAGTTTGGTGGAGAGGATTTTTTAATTAAGTGTGTTTATTTTTATTCTTTTTTTAATTAAATAATATAAATAAGTTCTAACAAACTAGTTCATTAAAATTTAAAAAAATGAGAAAAAATAGCATTGAGCTTCTATGTGTATTGATATAAAATTATAATTAAAAACTATTGAATATATAATTAAAAATATTTTATCTAATTAAATGTGTTTAAAAATTATATCACTTAGGTATAGAACATTTAACAAATTATATGTTAAACAAATTAAAAGCTTGTTCTTGAACAATGATGAGTTGGTATATGTTCAAAATTAGTTTGTTTAATCTTAGAGTTCCTAAAAACTTTTCAATTTTGTTAACTTAATAATTTGAATAAAAACATAATTGAGTATTAATCAAGCTGAGTTTGAGATATTCATCAAGTGTTTTGGTTTATTTATCGCCTTGCCTATTTATAATATTTGAAAATAACATTTTAATAATTTTGGTCAAAATCTCAAAATACTTCATTGATGGACCATGTTGATTTCCTTGATTATAATTATTATTTTCAACATCTATGCTTTTTAATAGTCCCACAATTAATTAAACTTCTGCTCATTAGATTCCATATGTAGAGCTCCTAACTTTAACAATAAGCACCCAAAACATAGACATCACTTGGATCTTTAATAATGTTCTGAAATTTCCAACAACACTTCAAATACTTGATTTAAGTTCATTGGATTTGAATCGGACATGGTATTCATTTTAAGAGATTTAATTTAACTATAAATTTAATTAAAAAAATGCGAGATGAACTTGAATTAAATTTTGAGAGTTTTACTCTAAAGATTGCATTAAAATATACGATTGGTTGGATATAATTGTTTTGACTTATCAACTAGTAGTGTCATTTGAGTTTAATTTATCAGGTTTGGGTGTAACCAAAGTTGAACAAACCTGGATTTAATTGATCCAAACCTAACTTATTTATTTTGTCAATCAAAAGATTTGATCTGAACTCAACCCAAACTGGCCTGACTTTAACCATATTCATCTAACTCATTTGTTATATGTATCATTTAATTTTTGAGTTAACACGATCTAATTAATCACAATTGACCCATTTAACTCAATTAGCTTAACTTGAATTGACTTAAGATAAATTGCAAAATAATTCAGTTAGTTTTTGAGTCGACTAGGTCAATTCGAACTTGACATCAATAATAATCATGCCTTTAATTTTAGCTCAAACATGACGATTGTAATCGGGTCAACCAAAATCCAAAATTTTTAGCCAAATTTAGATTATCTCCTTTTTTTAACACCCCTAGTATCAACTATTTAATTAGGCAATTATCTCGAGCTAAAAAAGTCAAATGTGATTAAACATGTGTGCTTGTGTTCAACTCATTTGCTCAAAATTTCTAGTTTTGCTCAATTTGGCTATTTAAATATGATTATAGCATGAGTTTTCTAACAAAACAAATATGAGACTATAAACAACTCTTTTTATAATCCTATTGTTAAAAATTTGATCTTCAATAGTAAGAGCTCAATATCAAAGTTGAATACAATAAGCAAATTTAAATATAATAATAGAGTTAAGATGATGAGCCTTTGGGGCAAATACATCAAATTTTGATTGCATTTTGAAATTATGTATGTATATATTCCTTCAACCCCAAAAATAACAAATCTCTTTTTATCAAGTTCATGAGCCTTTCTCTATTTGTGTGTGTTTGTGTGTGTATGTTGGAATGATCTTATTTTCTTTTACTAGTTATTTACTTATTTCTATTTATTCAAATTAGCTTTTATTCAACTTAATTTTTTAGTAGCCCGGCTCTTATTTTTCAAAAACAATTTCAATCATATATATTTTTTACATAATTGATTTAATATTTGTTTAAAATTTGGGGCACATTTACATGCATATACCACTCAATCCATATGTATTTACATCTCTAACACCTAAACTTTGCTTTTTTTTTTTACATTTATACTACCCAAAATCATACATATCACATAAAAAATAGCATCATTCTTCTCCAGCATAGGTAAGGTTGTATGAATGTAAAAATTGAAGTTTAGTGGTTAGATATGTAAATACATGAGACTTGTGTGGCAGGCAAATAAATCTTCCTTAAATTTTCTATCGTCTGTTTCTGAAATTTTTCGAAAAATTGAACCTTTATTATGTTCTGATGGATTCTTATATTGAGAAAGAAGCCTTTATCAACAAAAAAAAGTAATCAAATGAAAATTAATTGAAAGAAATTAATATATATGTTTGCACAGAAGACTTCAATAGGTGCACCAGTGCGATGTCTAACCAAAACATCCATTTAAACTTTGCCACAAAATCCTGGCATGTAAATCTTCCTAACTGGTTGCAGTAGGTTTCCTCATTACCTTCTTGATGGCTTCTGCGTACGTTTTGTGCTGGTAAGTCAACGTCGAATCCAGCAGGTCATGCAGAGATGTCTTCGGATTCCAACCTACAAAACAAAACAATCCCCTGAAAAATTGTCTTCGCCTATAAAGATTTATAGAAAATGTCGCATAAATGTAAATACCCAATTGTCTATTGATTATAGTCATGTCCGGAATCCTTCTGTCGCTGTCATCATATCCTTCCCCGTAAAACTCCTCCGAGGTGACATCAATGGTTGGAACCTCAAGCGGAGGCTCCCCAGATACCTTAGAGTACACCTGGAAGATGCAATTCTAGTTAAAATTGCAGGAAACAGCCTGATAAGTTTATTCGTAGAATACTATTGATTGAATCACGCACCTGTGTCATAATTTCTGCAAGTTGCTTGACTGTGACTTCATTGTTAGGATTCCCAACATTAAAGGTGTGGCCATTTGCTCGATCAGGATTTTCCTGTAATGAAGGATAATTAGCTTGAGACCAAGTAAAAGGGAGTAGGGTTGAAAAGGAAACATACAATCATCAAAAGAACAGCTTCAATAGCATCTTTGATGTACACGAATGTTCGTTGAGATTGCCCGCCATCAACAAGCTTCAAAGGCTCACGACGAAGAAGATTATTGCTGAAGCATGCCAAAACTCTGGGCACACCCTCACTGGGACCATCAACGCCAGGAATAAAGTCCATCCTTGGCCCAATCCAGTTGAAAGGTCTCACAATAGTAAACTCGAGACCATTCTCTGCACCCTCAGCTGCACCGAGTTCAAAATGGAAACAAAAACTTTCAAAACTGAAATACAGCGCATCCTCTTCATTCAGTTCATAGTCTGTTAAGAAAATACAGACGTACCATATATAAATCTTTCCAGGAGTTGCTTGGCACAAGCATACGACCACCTCTGTTTCTCAATGGGGCCATAAATGCAAGGTGAGACATCCTCTTTGAGGACATAAAACTCCGGCTCCTGTATCCACAGGGCATAACATGAATCAGCAATGTTAATCAGACAATTTAATAAGCTTTCAAGACTGAACGGGCAATGATATTGTTTGACACAAAAGTATTAACAGAATCTAGAGGCTATAAAGCAGCTGACATAGATGCATCAATTCCCCCATGTCAAAATCTTTAACATTCTCATTGGAATCCAGAATCTGGCTAAGTAGGCGCAGTTTCGGCCGAGAAACAAACTACAAGTAATTAATTATTAGAAATAAGTAAGAAGATGTGAAGGCATCCTAAAATCTATTGATTAATTATTATGGAGTTCCACCAAATATTACTTGAGACACTTAATGCTTAAATATAGAGTTTACAAATTAAATTGGGGAAGCAATCCCCATTCCATTTGAAATGTACACTAAACTTTGCTTTTTTTTGTACATTTATACCACTCAATCGATTCACTTGCATTATAAAATTTTCTCATGGCAACACAAAAAAGATGAAGAGTAATATCTTTTATGTGATATGGTTGAAGGATTAGGAATTTGTTAGAGAAGTATTACGGCACCTTACGAAGGGGGTCATCCCTGGGGAGGAAGCTACTGATCGTTTTTCCATACACTTCACAAGTAGAGAAGTGAATCAAACGCTTGCCGTTCTCGGAACAATATCGGACCTGAATCACCATAATCATCAATATCCATATGGTACTAACTTTTTTCAAATATAATTGCTAAACAGAGAAGACAGCGACACCAGCAAAAAAGATCGAGAAAAAGAAAATATCAACGCTTGGACAATATATGTTCATTGAAAACGTCAAAACTTACCACTGGAAGGGCGTCGATAAAATTGCTGTAAATGGTGTCAAGCGGACGCGTGTTATAATCAGCCGGAGTGCAAATGGCAGCAAGGTTGATCGTCTGCAGGCATTGACAAACAAAAAAAATCATAAAGATCAAGAAGCCCGGACAGACTAAAATGTAGGTATTTTTGATGTTGAGATAAATGAACAAGAACAACCAACATAAGATCTAGCACGTTAGAGATACGGAATGACTAAAATGCGATAAGCAGTTCTCGTACATACCAGATCGGACAATTTGATGAGGCATTCAAGCCTAGGGTCATTTTTGATGTTAAGGCGATGGAATTGTATACGGCCAGCCCAGAGATGGGGCTGGTACCCAGCCGGTTGTTCTAACAAGTGCTTTATCTTATCATTATAAACGTCAACTGCCAGAATCGTGTGCGGCGTCTCCGTCATTAGCTTCTCGCAGAGATGCGAACCGATGAAGCCCCCGGCACCGATCATGCAGATCTTTATGGGCTTGATCAAATTCCCGCCCAGATCCAATCTGGTCTCCATGGCAGTCTTCCCTCCTCAAGATTATTTTCCTCCTCTTGTTGGTGAAGAAATGCGAGCACTCACACTATGCCTCCCAGAATCCAGGAAAACAACCCTTCAAGCTGCGTCCGGACTCAAGATTTTCTCCTCCCCTGAAGGAGCAACAATAGCCGAGGAAGGAAGATGGCTAGCTTCGGAAGTTACCGGTGGTGAGGTTCAGGACGAAGGAAAGCCGAATGTGGGAGAGGGGAAGGTTAGACTATTGTCGGTCAGGATGTCCAGTTACTCATGTGTGATGTCCAATTAAAAGTCGTGGCTTGAAAATATGGACTCAATTAAAAGTTGTGGCTTGAAAATATGGAGTTTAACAGTAAAAATATAAAAAATGTTATATGTTGAATATGCGACCCGGCCCGAGTCCCGCCCAAATCTTCGAAAAACATCTTTTTTGTCATTTTCGGATCCCACTAATACGCATTTTTTTTTTCATTTACGTTCGTGTTCGTCATCAAAGGTTAGCGACCCGATGAAATTCTCTCGACCAGGAAATGTTGATGGAATCTCAAAATATTTGCGAGAACTATGCCAATGAAGCGAGCTTAGCTACGACCAGAAGTATTCGGCATGTGGGTTTAGCCGAGGCCGAAATTACTCTGCAGCTAGGTTTGATTGGTTTTACTGTGGTATTATTATTTGTGTGAATCTTTTTTTTGTTTTGATTTGTTATTGCAGTGTTGTGATGATTTTTACTAGTGTTGTTTTATAATTAATTTTGTTAATGAATTAAATCATTTAGTTTTATTTGAGTGTTATTCTTGTCATCCCAATGTTGTTATTGTGGTATTATTCTGGTTTTATTACTATATTATTTTATAATGTTACCGTTATGTTGGAGGGGGGATGTGGTGTTATTAATGTTTTATCATGGGTGTTATAGTTGTATTATTGGTTTTAATTCCCCGGTTTTGTTGGAGTTTTATTTTGACATTTAATGGTATTATCCTCTTGATATTGTGGTATTTTTTGTTTGTATTATTGGCTTATAATGACAGTGGGGTGTTATTTAGGTATTATCATATGATTATACTAAAGTTATTGGATCTATTTAGTAGGTTTTATTGAAGTGTTATTTTATCATTGTAAATGGTGTTATGCAGGTGTTATTATGGTGTTATTATGATCTTATTTCTGTATTATTGGCTTTGAACTATAACTTTGTGTTGGAGTGAGGAAGTGGTGATATGTAGGTATTTTCATGGTGTTACACTAGCCTTATTGGATCTATTGATTGGTTTTATTGGAGTGTCATTTTTGTTATTTGATTCACCTGAAAATTACCTTTTTTTAGTGTACATTCAATTATCATTTTATGTACATTTTTAATGATATTACACTTTAAAGGAAGTTATTTTGCATGTTTTTGTCTTCAGCTACAAGAAACAGACTTTTAACGAAAATGGAGCAAAAATGATGTTCTTTTTAGTCAAATTGAGTAAGGAAGAAAATTCTGACTTGACACATTTTGATGTGTCTTTCTATGCTTAATCTCTTTTACATTTATCACATATTTTTGAATGAAATTACACTTTAAATAAATGTATTTTTTTTCATGTCTACTTTGTAGGTATATCAATTTGGAGCGCAAGGAGCTAAAACGGGGCGAAACAAAGTGAAATGGAGCGAAATGGTGGAACTTCCTGAAGGGTGGCGCCCGGGCGCCTAGGCGCCGGTGACGAAGAGAAAACAACGCCTAGGAGCCAGAAACTAACGCTAGGCGCCATAAACGGTTCGAGACTATTTTGGACGACTTTTGGTGGTTCCAGGATGTTCTGGAAGGTTCTAGATGGCTATGCACACCTCTAAAAGTGGTTAAATGAATCTAAACACTTTTAGTGGCTTTTGAATGAAGAGATGTGTCTCTTGGAGTGAAAGGGTGTGTCTTTTGGATGAAGAGATGTGTCTCTTGGAGAAAGGAGGGGTTTTTGCTTCTCTTTAAATAGAGAGGCTTGACGTTTATCATGACAAGTAATTAGAGAAGTCTAGAGAAGAAATTAGGAAGGATTATAGAGAGAGTTTGGTGTGAGTTTATGGAGATATAGATTTCTCCATTTTCTGGAGAGATTGAAGAGGAATTTTGAGAGATATGAGTAACGAAACATAAACGGTGCATGGATCGAAAGGAAACTTTAATGGAGAGATTATTCTTTCTTTCAAAGGGAAAAAAGCTAAGTGTTGTGTTATTCATTATCTTGTAATTATTGCAAACTCTTTCTATTGAATTTTCTTTTATTTAAATGAAGTTTTATGTGGTGTTATATCCATGCTTCGTAAGTAGTTCTCTTTACTCTTTTCTTCTAATATGAAGTAGTGGCATGTGTAGGAAAATTTATTTTATGATAGAATTATTTTTATTTTCATGTGATAAGTAATATCTCTTTCGTTTCATTGACATAACTTAAGTGACAATAGATTATGTTAAAATCTGTTGTAAGTAAAACTAAGACTCGTGAGAGCGGTGATCTCATAACTAGAGTGCACTCATGTTGTCTAGATGGCTATTGCAAAATAGTATGGGCGGCAATGCAACTTTTAAGAAAATATAATTCATGATTTGTTTCTATTAAAAGCTTCTAGGTGACAGGTAGTTGCATAAAACAAATATAATACTAAGCATACCTATATGCTCAAAAGATGGTAGATAGACATATGTTCCTTGTTGGCACTTAATTTATACATAATTTTATCAGTTCTTTTACTGGTTATGTCAATATCTTCATTTTTTTTTTTGAAATGAATTAGATACGTGTTTAGATACATGTTTAGGAACATTGATTTGCTTAGAAATTCTCTTATATCATTAATGTGATGATATTTTTACCGGTCATTCATTTATTTTACAAATTGGTCACTTGTATTGGTCACTTGTATTGTTCAAATTGGTCACTTGTATTGTTAAAACCTATTGAGTAACTTATAGACCCGAAAAAAGTAAGATTTCTTGACTTGTAAGTATCACATTCTAACTTGGAAAAAACAGTCACGATCGTTCGAAGGGGGGTGCAAATAGATAAAGAGATAAGATTTGGTGGGCATAGAATTGATGTTTCTAGAGTGACAGGCTAGATTTTTTTATCAATTTGGTCTAGAGATTATCAATTTTTTTTATCAATTTGGTCTAGAGATTAGAACTAAGGGTCACTGGTAGGTCCTATAAAGTTGGCACAGTGGGCAATCTAAAAGTGAGAGATTAGAACATACCCAGCACTACTATACATGTTGACACAACTTTAAATTAGCCAGTGTTCTTTTCACAATCAAAAGAAGTAAAGAATATGCATGCTTCTATTTGTCAATGCAACATTATATTTTAAGCATTTCATTCCTATATATTATCTAGGTCAACGCACGAGAAGGGTAGTCTTTAACATCTCAAAATTCTCCAAACCAATTAATCCAGATAAGTTTTATCTTTAGAATTATAGAATTAAGATTTTCATGTAATTGTAGTAGTTGTTAGAAAAACCACTTTAATCGACATTCCAAATTAAGGTCTGATAGTAGTATATTAGAATTAACCTCAGGGATTTCTTACCTCGCTTCTCTGTAGGATCAATACTCTGGGTTTTAAAAAAATCCTATATTACTTGAAATGATACGTATATTTGCATAGTACCCCTAGTGTGTAAGCTATTTTCTAAATTTTATAATATTTCAATTTTGCACACTAGCTGTTAAATATAAATTCGGGTCAAGTTTTTGGCCATCTTTTGGAAGCTAAAGTACTGCGTAATTGCGCGTTGGATCAATATACCACACAGATTCATTTAAAAAATAGAAATCCACTATCCAATATTTGCAAATGAAATACAACAATAAAGACAAACAAGACTTATCTTCCTCTTTTTTACAATGAACTGAAAATGGCCAACCCATGCTCCTCCAAACTCCTGCGCCACTACTAAAGAAGACTCTTACTATCCTCTACACTAGGAGAAGAAGAAGGAACTCTACAACAAACAAAACCTTAAAACAAAATCTCATCAATCATTTGCCCTACCTGCAAAAGCTGGGAAGTTTTAGACTTAGCGTCCTCTCTTAGAGAAATAATGTAATGCCAAGCTTTAGACTTGACATTCAAAGTGATAGTTGGGAAGTTAATCATCTAATCATCACAAAACCTCAAAACTCCTTGATTAATAGTATAAGTGATCTCATCTAAAATAGAATAAGAGAGCATCAAAATGAAGTAAAAATCATCACCAATATCATAAAGGTTAAATAGTGAATTGATTTTAGATGAACTAAAATCTATATGTTCCCCCCTCACGAACACAATTTACCCCTCCAACTCCTTCAAATTAGAAAAAAATTTCCTTACCAAGGAAATTATAGCCACCTAAATTTCATAAGAAAATCTTTCCCAAACTTTCTTGATGATAACACCCGCAACCTTGCCACCCCATTCAATGAATCCCCTTTTAAGAATAAACCTCTTCAATACTAAGAAATAACTTTATCACTCTTCAGTATTAGCACTAATGATTTTTTTAAAATCAAAGAAAGTTCTTTGTTTCACTTCCATAGTTTTGGTGCCATAACTTCAAGGAAATGTGATAAAGATTGAGGAATGTGAGGTTAGAAATGAAGAGATCAATAATAAATGATAGATTTTATAAAAGGATGTAGAGAATTGGAAGGGGATTTAGAAATATGATGAAAATCTATAACAAAATTAATGAAGAAAGAAGAGAACATTTCACTTATGAGTTGAGAAACCCTTCTTTGTCATCTCCCTCTTCTTCTCTTCTTCCTTTTTCTTCTCCTTTTCCTTCTCCTTCTTATTCTTCTTTCTTCTTCTTCTCCTTCTCATTAGGTTTTCTTTATGGAGAATACCACATGAGAAAGGTAATAGATTGGGAAGACAAACAAAACAATTCCCAACTCTCATAATAAAAGTCATAATGCTTAAGCGCTCAGGTGCAATGCCTAGATGCTAAAACAAATCTAGAAAGGAAAAGTGCAGTGCCAAGGTACCAAAAAGGAGAGTTGGAGTGTCTATCTATCATGTAAAGAGCACAAAACCTCTAATCTAGCATAGGACACCACTTCACGAGTATATTGTCTAAGTGCTATGAAGTGGCATGTGGGTGTCAGTTCTAGAAAAGTCATGAATAGGGTGTAAAATGGAGTCGATTCAAATGAAACATCCAATCAAAGGAAATAAAACATAA